GGGTGGCCGGATGAACGATCGCGACCTCGTAGCACCCACGCTCTAATAAGACGCTTGCATTGCAGGCTACCCAAAACTTTGTTTTCTAGGTGTGGTTAACCTGTGGTTTCGCTCTGTCGTGTGCTATATTGCGCCATGTCGAGGCTATGTGAGAGAGGAATACTGATAGTTTCCTTTGCATACTTATACAAAAAAAAAGGAATTTCTTTGTTTTTCTGTTTGTGCGTGTTGACGCTAATGCTTTTTTTCTTTTAGTGCATTTGGCCGTGAAATGCTGAAAAGGAACGTTGCTGTGGTTGTGGTTGGTTTTCCTGCCACCCCTCTCATCGAATCTCGCACCAGATTCTGCCTGTCTGCCGCGCATACCCGTGAAATGCTGGACAAGGTGGGTGAGAGCTACTGTTGCTATGGCATCGAATCTTCTAACAGAGGCACACTTTTCCTTGGGAACCCCTTGTGATAAAAACAGCGTGACAAAGAAAAAAAAACAACAAACAAACAATAAGTACTCAGTAGTCAACACCCACAGGGTTCTGCAATTTTAGAGAAGGAAATAAAACTAAAGAACCCAGAAAAAATAAATTGGGATAAATCTTCTTGGAATTAGGAAGATAGTCATCAATAATCTCGACTTCGTTCTGACGCAAAATGTGGGAAAAAAATGAGCCCCTCTGGATATAGGAGTACTCAACAATCTGTTACCAAGACTGGATGCTCTCGAATATCTTGTCTTGAAGTTGAATTTATTGGTTGAGGCTTTGGATAGTGCAGTTGACTTTGGCGCGTCGAGAGGAACTCTGAGAGTCCCGTGCGGCGCTTCTTTTTTTTTTTTTTTTTTTTTTTTTTTTCGGCGTGACTCTCGTGATGAAACTCGCCCGAAAAGGATGCACCTCTTGTAGTCTAGGTATTCCTCGATTCAAATTGGATTCGTGAGTTGTTTTGGTTTACATGGATGTAAAAAAATCCTCTATGCCACTTATCAGTGTTTTCACGTGTAGTGTTAATTTTTTCCTTTTTGTAATATTTTTTTAATCAGGCTTTGGAAGCCATCGATGAAGTAGGTGACATTCTTCAACTCAAATACTCGAAACAGACACAGAAGAAATAACTGGAGCTACAGAGGTCACATAGAAACAAAACACTTTAACATAGACATGAAATAACTGGTATTATTGTTTCTTTAAAATAATAATAATATTTGAATGTTACCCACACTGCAATGGCCACAAAAGAGTATGCTCTTTTTTTACTTGTAAGGCAAAGGTTTAGTTGCTGTGGTCGAACTTCTCTAGGAATTTTTAAATTAAATGCAAACCACACAAAAATTTTCTTCAAAGTGCGAGAGACTGGGAACTAGGTGTAGTTGTGAACTTTGAGGTCCTGTCAGATCAGGCTTTGATTGGCGAAAAGTTCTGCCCAACTATCCTTGAGGTACTTGCTGGGTATCTTAGCAAAGTGCTTGGCTTATATTTATTGAAGGACTTTATGTGCTAATTTTTTCTTCCTTTTCCCCATAAGTCTTACAAATAAGTTCTTGCGAGAGGTTTCTGTTTTCTTCGCCTAGCCTCTTTTCTGCATCGTTTCCGTTTCCGAACATTTTGCAGTACATTAAGAGAAATAAACCAATTTTTAATATCTGTTTCCTACACACTAAAACAATTATGCAACTCGACTTTGGTGCATAGTTGTTAAAAATGGCCCAGTTATTTACAAATTTATTTGATATCAGTTAAGGGAAGACTCAGCATATGGATATTGATTTTTTTTTTTAGACAATTTATACTTTTGGTCTACTATTATTATAAAAAAAAAATGAAGTGCTCTTTCAGAGCGTTCCCTGCTATGTACAAACAATAGCGATATTAGTTTAAGGATGCCTCAGAACGCAGATATTATTTCTACTTTTGGTGTAGATATATTTAATCCTATCATAAGATCTTGGTTTTATAGTTGCTTTTCTTAAATGGGGAAGGGGTGTGATAAAAACCATGTAATAGATAAATGTGGACAGTACCGTTTGAAAGCTGAATGCTTAAAGTTTTGATTAATGACAATCGAATGGGAAAAGATGTAGTTGTGTTAAAATATAAGCTCTTTTAAAGCCATCACTAACAGTGATTGAAGACGGAGCTTTGTAATTGAACAATTTTTGTTAATAGGGTTGATAAGCACAAGAATGAAGTGATGCTAGCAATGATGTAGAGAAGTCTTAAACAATTGCCTCTGCAATAAAAGCATTTTGAAGATGAGAGTGCTTATTTCACTTTGTCCTGTGTAGCAGAATAATGATTGCTATAGAGTTTAGTCCTGCTTAGAGAAGTGGCGTATCATACAGCAGCCGGCTTTATCGTAACTTATTTAACCAATACCTAGTGGGGCCTTGTCGTGCTTTAGTCGGAGACTGAATCCGCGACAAGCTCTTACGGCTGTGACTCTCTTAGCAAGTGGGAATGCATGTATTTTACGGCAATCGTCACCTGCGAATGATCTCACAGAACCCCGCGGGTAATGTGGCGCGAAAAAAATGCAGGAACATGTCTGATTTTTAAAGCTTCCACGAGTCACAATCAATTCGAGATAAATTGGGTCTGTACGTATCAATGAGTTTTTTGGTAAAAATTAAAATTCTCGTGTGATATTCATATTTCAGCTTTAAAAGCTAGAAGCAGTCTTTAAGGATAATTTTGATAAAGACGGTGAAATTGACCTCATGTTCATCTTAGCTCGCGTGATGGGTAAACCGCGTGACCAGATAATCGCGGGACTCGAAATATTAGGCAGAATGAGATGAGGTAACGCTAGTAAGGGGATTAACATAAATTGGAATAGTCATTTTCTAAATTACTGCGAAAGTTTCATTGAAAGCCCAAGGAAGAGCAAGAACTGAGTTAACTGCCAGTTACTTATTTCATAAATAACACAAAACAGAACAGTGTAAGTTCCTTTGGTAAAATCCCATAATCCAGTGTTTGACTGCGGCAAAATATATCTTGTCAAGTCATGACTTATTAATATTATAACACAGAATGAATAGTTGAGAAAGCCTCCGGCCATGCAGGTGCATGTTAATTTATGGGAAAGCGTACTTAATCGCTCAACAATATGAAGCAATCATTATTCGTTTTTTTTAATTTTTTTAAATTTTTTTTAAATTTTTTTTTATCTTCAAGATATGGAGCAATGATTCAATTTTTTTACGAGAAAAGGTACTTTCAATTATCGAGCACAAAACGACAACATTACACATCGGACAAAGGTAATGACTAAATTACGACTTCTCCTGCTAAGCTTAAAGAAAACCTGGGTTGATAAAAACACTGCTTAACATGACAATTGTCCGACTCCACCAAACTCGGCTTCTACGCTTAAAATATTGTTTGTTCATACAACAATAACACCATAACAACGGTAGAAGTAAGCCGTAGGCTAGCTTGCAAGCACTGAGGCCTTCACTATCAGCGCTTCAGCCTGCGAGTGTTTTTTTGCCCGGCAC